GTTAAAAATATCTTTTTTATAAAAAACTGTCCTGCTTAAAAATCTCTCAAAAGCAAGGAGGGAAAATGAGTTTTAGCCTTTTTTTTTCCTTTGTATTTTGTAAGATAGGGATAAGGCAGAGCCATCAAAGTAGCCAAAGGTTCAGGTACATGTGAGCAACAACAGGGAGCCTCTCTGCCCTCCTGTAACTCTCACTCCTCACAGAAGCACACACACACAGACACACACAGTTCTTTTTCCACTAGCACACACCCAGAGACACGAAAACCTTTACGCCATCCATTTACAGAGTGATTGCTTTAGGCAGAGAACACAGGAAAGCACTTGCGTTGGCCACCAGAGATTACTGCTCCCCATGGAGAGCTGTGAGCCCTTCAATAATTCAGAATAATCTTCACGTGATGGAAACTGCAGCGGTAAAAGCCTCGACCCCACGGCTGGCTGCACCCGCGCTCCCCGCCGAAGGACGGTTTCTGCACGGCTGTAAGTGTGTGAAGAGCTACTGGAGAGAGTCCAGCGGAGGGCTACAAGGATGGTGAGGGGACTGGAGCATCTCCACTACGAGGAGAGGTTGAGGGAACTGGGCTTGTTCAGCCTGAAGAAGAGAAGGCTGCGAGGGGACCTTATAAATGCCTACAAATATCTGAAGGGTGGGTGTCAGGAGGATGGGGCCAAGCTCTTGTCAGTGGTGCCCAGTGACAGGACAAGGGGCTGCTTCGGCGGGGGGGTTGGACTAGATGACCCACAGAGGTCCCTTCCAACCCCTACTATTCTGTGATTCTGTGATTCTGTGTGTGAAAGCGAATCACGTGCAGAAAGTGAATCTCCCACCGGGGCTCAGCAACCCCAGGCGCTCTCGGCTGCTAACAGATTTTGGATCTCTCCTCGGGTGGGTTTGATCAGGACCCCTTTCCCTGAGTAGCTTCCCCCCGGCAGCGTGCTGGGGGATCGCAGCAGCCGTCCCGGCTCGCCGCAGCAGGGAATTGCCTTTTCCTGGGATCGCTCGCATGTGCCATAACCTTTGGTTACCCGAGTATTAGTGATCTTTGTTTCTCTGACTTTTCTCTTATTACTAGTGGCTTTTGTTCTCTGTTTCCCCCGCCTTTAAAAAAACAAAAACAAGAAAACCCACTGTTATGTTTCAAATGACATTAAATTACTAGAAACCGCAATTCCTTTAGCCAAAGCTACCAGAAATCTTAAACTACGCCTGGCAGCTTGCTGAGATAAAAAGAGGCTGAGCTAGCCTGTTTTTCTGCGGCGAACTCATAATCATCTTTCTCTTAAATACTTTCCAGGCTTTTTTCCACTATCTGCTAGGCTCTCTCGACCACGTTCATGGGTGGGTTTGTGACTGCTAATTGTATGCTCCCTCCACAGACAGAAAGCAGACGAGGATCGAGAGATAACAAAAACATGGCTGTTCCCTACAACAAACAACTTCCAATGCACCAGATAAAAGGTTGTTCTAGGCACACGATAAGGAAAATATTTACATCTGGATGTGAGTGGTGACATTTTTGTATCAGCACTCAACAGGATCAGCACAAGAAGGCAATTGATGAAGAGTTCAGTCAGGTTTCCAACTAACGCTTACAATGGGATTTTGTTTGGTTATTTCCAAAGGGAAAGAAAGAACAGGTGGAAAGTGACATTAAAAACACATCATCAGCTTTCACAGCATCTAGGAGCGGGAACCTAAATTGAACACCCCATGACAAAGAGCACATCCAACAGCACCAAGCAGGCACGTTTCCTTCCCATGGTTTCCCATTCATATTTGGCTTCGCTCCATTCACACCGAGAAAGAGAGGCTCTTTATTAAAGAAAGCAACAGAATCTGCCCGTTCCGCAGCGTACATAATAGACTTCTTGTATATAACAGACTTTGGTTACTGTCACAGGTCTGTGTCAACATCTACTAAAGCATTTCTTGCCTTCACAAACATCCAAGAGGCTTCACTTGTACCATTAAACCATATTAATGAGATATCAAGCCCCAGCAATTTCACAGTCTAAAAACAGCACTGCGAGCAGCCAGGCAAACTTCCTTTGATGTTTCACGAATCACGAAAGTATTTCCAAGCAAAGAAGAGGAAAAAAGTCAACACCAAATTGGGCCCTAATACGTACACGCGTCGTCCAGCTCCAGAGCAGGCACCACCGTGGGGCAGACCCCCCTGCAGTAATTTGCTGCCTGGGTGCCAGCGCAGCCAGGAGACCCCAGCAACGCCCTGGGTGCAGCTCTCCTTTCGTCCCACAAGCAGCCACTTCTATCGCTACCAGATGGTGCAACTCTCCCTGTGTAAACACTGGGAGGAAAACCCTGCCGAGGCAATTCTAAAAATAGGAGGAACAGACTTTCTTGAGCTTTTCAGATCCTTATCTTGAAGCGAGAATAAAACAAAAGAAGTTTTCCTTCGTGTCCTTGCCAGTCGCTCTGGCGTGACTCGAAACCTCTGTGCCTTTTAGCAGCAGCATGAATTGTTTTCTATAATTACCAGCAACTACAAAAGTATTAAATAATCATTCATCAGAAAGGGAAGACCAGCCAGAATTCTGGACCAAGGCTTAAATTAGATTTGGCCTTAAAATGGCCAGTGACAGCAGGTTTGTGCCCAAGGGCATTACCACTCTGGAAGAAAACGAAGCAAGCTATCTTTCTGAGTATGAGGTTGGAATAGAACAACAGTCTAAATCCAGAAAAGTAGTGACATATGTTTGTATTTCCTTGATGTTCATGTTCGTTTAAGCAAATGCTTATGGTCAAAAGCTTTGTTAAAACAAGGTCTCTTCTCTTTCTCTGGATTTAGGGTGGATTTTTCTTTTGCTCCGTCTCATGGATTCCATCTGGGTTTTCTGGCAGAGGTATCTATACCATAAAGAAAGTCCTACAGATTTACATGAAAATATTACAAACAAATCATTCAAACACTGTTTCCACCACTAAACAGCACAGGCAGCCAGCTGCTGTCTTAGCAAAGGGAGTCACCAAAAAACTTAATTACTGTCCCTGGAAGGCTCCTTCAAGTACCTCTGTAATGAGCAAAGTCATCTCAGGCATCAAGAGGATGGTGGTGACAGATTTGCAATTTTCACTCTGAAAAGCAATGCTGTCAGGTATGGTTGTATCATTAAGAAGGTTCATCCCTAACGTTAATAGGCTGTTTTCACCTCTGGGCTGTGCTCAGCACTGCCAAAGGGTGTTAAGCAAACACCATGTGTGCGACGTAAGAGAAATAAAGCCTGTTGTGAAGCAGGAAGAGTAGGTTTTGGCCAGGAACAGCAATGGTCCCTACAACAGGGAGGGCCTTGTTCCCTCGACACCCAGCTGTCACGTCCCCAGGGCCCTGGCAGATCTGGTGGCTTCGTCACCACCGAGCTGTCACCCACTGCTGCTGAGAACAGTGGGCACTGGCTGTTGGAGCTGCACCAAAACTCACCAAATTTAAATGTGTAACCCCACGTCAGGAAATCAAGACTACACAAGCTCAGCATAAATGTTTAGAGCAGTCCGGTGTGCCGCACGCGATTTTGGGAAGATTCGCTATAAGCCTCAAACTTCTGCAGAAGTGGGCAATGGGAGCAGGTTCTGGCAGAATAAACTCAAGGTGCTCAGAATAACCGGGTTTGGCAAACGCACAGAAAGAAATCCTGCCTGCCTAAGCCCTTGGGCAACTACGCCGTTTGACAGCAATTCGACCGCAGTCAGGCACGTGTCTGGGCAGGAAGGGGCCCCAAGCACCACTATGTGAATGTATATACTTCTGCTTCGTGCCAGGCTGCTGAACTGCATCACTGAGGTTAAGCAAGCAGCAGAAAGCATCACCTTGGGGTTCACCATAAACACCTATGCACGAAGATCACATAAAACAATTTGCACTTCCAACGACTACTTCAGGTAAGTTAAATTAAAAGCTGGTCAATGAGAAGCACAGATCATTCATGAATTACATCCGTACTGATCACCATTGCTTAACAGTATAGGCTGCTCAAGATTTGAGTGAGCTGTGTCCAGTTTTAACCTGTTTGCTTCGGCTGGAAGGAAGCTCAAAGGACCACGTCCAGCCTTCACATCCCTGAGAAACTGCTTCTGCCTAATACGTCTTCTAACCTCCCTTCCCAGCAGGCATGCAAGCTCTTAGGGTTTGATCATTTTACCTTTCAGAAAGCTGTCGGATCTGAGGAATCCCCATGTATTTGTTGAAGTGCTCCAACACATTCACCACACCTTGGAGAAGGTTGGCCACTTCCCCATATTGTCTCCTCCTGGTCATAGCCCTGTAGAGCAAATTAAAGATTTACAAGGCAGGTCTGATGAGAATCCTGGGTGGTAATTCCACAGGTTACCTCATCCCCACCAGGTCATGCTGGTCCCTATTTACATTTATTTTTCTAAAATACACAACTCTTCATTAACATTCCAATGCAGCATTAAAGTTTCATTTAACTGATGCTAAAATAAACCAGTCCGGCACACATCTAACAATGCTTCAAAAAACATAAATGTCAAAAGCAACACTTGGCAAAGAACATGTAAACTACTGAATGCATCCGCTTCCCAGTATGGGTCCGGAGGCAGTAAATGTTATTTCACTATAATGACCTGAGTTAAGCCATTCGTCATTGCACACAAAGTGTGAGTTAAAGCTTCACAGGGAGGAGAATAATTATGCTGAGAAGCTATTAGCCTTGACTTTTCTGTTAATAACTTTCACAGGGAACTGACAGAAAAAAAAAAAATTCAAGTTTTTTATTTTTATTTCCTTTAGGATCATTCCAATGGAGACAGCAGCCTAAGTAAAATTTAATTCTGAACACTTAACAACCCAGTGTTCGTGCAGAATTCGCTACAATCCAAGAACAGACTGTGCCTGGGTCTCGCAACTTCACAGATGCAATATGTAAAAAAAAAAATGGATTTCCCTAGCCTGTGCGTTCCTTAAGCACATTAAAAAACCCACAAAGTATTATTAGAAACATCTAACCCCACTTCATATACAGTACAAGCTGCAAGGCTTCTTTGAACTCATTCTCAGAACTAGAGCAGACCTTTTTGAAAAAGAGATCTCGTTCCAGTTTAAGACATGAGACTGCTAAAATCCCCTCAAATCCCTGGAAAGCACATCCCTAAGGAGGATACCTGACTGCACAGACTGTCTTACTCTTTAATAAAGCCAGACTCCTTCCTTACCACCAAGGATCAACACAGCGATTCAAGCAATCGATGCTGCAAACCCTTAAATACAGCAACATGGGCTGCAGGTCGCGCGGAGCAGCACAGAAAGGATCCGCCAGCAAAAATCAAGACTGCAACCTATTAAGCAAACCTCCCTCCAGAAAAACGAGCAGCTGCTACAGACCTACCCAGAGCACCGTGCCAAACTTCAGCACTCAGCAGCGGTGTCAGCGTACCTCTAAACATCCGCACACTTACTCGAGTGAATCCACCCCCCCCGCCAGCATATGCAGGTGATTGAGGGTGGTGATGGAGGTGGTCAGATGACGCTTGGCGTGATCCAGCTGCTTGATATCCCGCGTGATTTCCTTAACCTAGTGAAGGAAAAAACAAGAGTCTGGTTAAATACCAAGCCACAGCAACAAAATTTTAAGGAGATAAGAAGAGCGCTCTCCTCCCTTCGGGACTACAAGCATGCTGGCTCTACAGCCACGTTAACACAAGGACAAGGTTCCACACATGCTTGACAGCAAATTACCAACCAGCCAGCAGGACCAAAGACAGAAATGTTCCCTTCTTAATGAGAAATGGAAGCAGAAGTCAGCGTCCCCCTCCCTTTCAAAGGCTAGAAAGAAACTGCTGCTCACCATTTGTTCAGATTTTTCAGCCTTGTCTTTAATATCCTTAATTTTACCAAAGAGCTGTTGAATGGCTTTCTGGGCTTCTTCCAGGGCCTGGAAAAGAAACAAGGTCAGAGTGGAAAGAAAACCTGCATTCAGTTTTCACCTTCTAAGAAATACACAGTTGCTCCCTACAGCCCCTGGGCTGGGGCAGTGGAGGGCAGCTGTTTTCCTACAAAGAAAGTATTGTCAGCACTTCTAAAGTCAACGTACCATGTTGGGATTTTTAACCTGTTTCAGTATCTGTTTTACAATAATGCTCTGGCAAAATCTCTTTGAGATATTCTACGAAAGCACCTCTGTAATATGAACTATGAACAGGTTTCAGGTTACTGCAACAAACTTCGATGCACTAAAGGTGGAAAAATATGTAGAACTTACTCCTGATCAACACGTATATATGGAAAATGAAACCTCCACAAAGCCTCTACGCTCATCATTAATTCTAAATACTAAATACACAACATTACATATAGAACACTGCGTGCTTGCCTAAACCCCCCACTGAATCAGCAGGATACTATCCCGCTGGAGGACACGATGCGCATTCTGCTCATTCCCCGGGGTGGGCAGCTCAGCCCCCACCCACCTGCAGGAGCAATGGCTCTCACCAGGCAGAGGAGCGGGCGCAGGTTTAGCAGGTAAAGAGGGTCGAGCACGGGAGACGGACCTCACCTGGACTGTTGTGCTATTTGACTGCAAGCTTCTTGGGGCATCTGGTGCCCTTCACACAACCGTGGTGCATCCTGACCTCACACAACCAGTGTGACCTACACGTGGATTCAACGAGCGAAGCCACATGTCCAAAATCACATGTCCAAAATCCAACTTCTGAAGTAATTCAACACGTTTTGCCTTCCCAGACTGATAACATTTCCAGCTCCAGCTCCACTTTGTCTCCCGCTGTTAAGCGGGCTTCTATCCCTCTCTTTTTATATCCAGCCCCATGACCAAGGTTACAGCGCAAGCTACAAGCTCCTTCAGCAAATAAATTTAACACATCTTCATTTGGAAATGTACGAGCAAGCTATCTGCCAGGAGGTTTTGCTGGAACATAGCTGCATTATAATGAAAGTATAAAAGTTGGAAACGTTTTATAATTCATTTTCCAGAGGGGAGAAAAGTCTCCTCTGAAATATCATCTGAATCCTATGGAAGTTAACACTTTAGCCATCAGTGCCACACAGCTATCACACGGCGTGTTCACTACGGGCAACGAGCACACAGACGTGCCGCAGGGACGGCTATTTCAGCGATGAACACCACCATCTCTCTGCCTTCTCGTCGGCTGCAGCCTAGCCACCTTTTAGAATAAAGTTTTCTCTCCTATCTAAAGGCACGTGGATGAAACGCAAACCGAAGAACTAAGGAACGCTCCTTTCAACGCACTGAACTACAGTCTCTGTGCTCGGTCCCAGCCCACGGCGGCCGCACATAACTCCAGTGGGCTATTAAGCAAGCAGCAACTGTCCTGCGTGTTCCCAGATTTGGATGGGTCTGCGCAAAAAATAAAAAAGTCAGCCTGAAATTCTTCACAGATGCCAACTGCTGTGTTTCCCTTCGCTGCAGCACGAAGGTGAAATGCTATTTCTCTGCATGATCCAAGGGAAGTCAGAGCTGCTGAGCTCTCCGGAAGAAGAGATGAGGACTTAGCCCGCCAACAAAAAGATTCTCTGAAAAGAGCTGTTATCCTCCTTAATACCCAAAGCCAAGGCAATCTCACAAAACTTGCTCAACCTTTGGATCATCCCACACCAACTCAGGATCTCATGCGTGCAGAACCATTGGGAGGCCAGGTACGGAGGATCAGCCGCAAGGAGCCTGGGGGGGTCCTACACCCCGTGACACGCAGCAGGCCCACCCCAAGCTCCCAACCAGCTGCACGCTTCTTAGACACAGCTCTGAGCCCATTCCCCTCTCCTAGGGCAGATGTTCCAGGCACAGGCTCAGACAACAGACACAGCAGCTCTCCCTGGCACGGCTGCCAAGGTGAACTCCGAGACCTTCAGCCATCCACCGCAATCCCTTCACTCGGGGCTGGCATCTCAACCTGCTCCCCAGGAAGAGAGCATTCGAGCTGCTATTACAGCTCCAAGCCGTTTGTTCTCGATAGCCTTCAGCAACCAAGTTCAGAGTAAACAATACCGTGAGTGAGGATCTCCATCTCAGGTCTTACAGGTTTTACGTTAAATCCCTATCCACAAAGGGAAACCTGTCTCCTCTGTTTTCCTCACGAGACAGAATATCATCTACTTGAATACAGGGACCTTTTCGAAAGTTACTGCTCATAATTTATCCTCAGATAATGGCCCAAACAAGGATTTGCAGCTGCCCACATACCAGCAGTTTCTCTTTCGCTCACCGTTGAGAAACCACACTCTATCTCTCTAAGGTCATAATAATAATATCGTGACAAAACCAGCAGAGGAAACTGGTTTACACCTGAAGAACATGTTCCCTGGTGGAAACCAGCACAGGCATCAGCGGGCAAACCCCCCACCCAAAAACTGCCCCTGGAACAGTGGCCTAAGTAAAATGGGATTTTATCCTCATACACTTAAAACTGCCAAAAATAAGGCGAAGTGGTGTCACCACCTGGTCCTGACACTTGTAGCCTTTACCTCCTTACAGACTCTGGAAAACCACAAACAAGACAACATGTCCTCTGCCCCATCTGACGAATCACTGAACTGTGGTCTCCCCCCACTGTGGAAGAGAACCCCCCGCCATTCTGCTCAAGTTCTGCATCGCGTCTCTTAGAGAAGGGGATAGGCTTCCATAACTGTTTAAAAGAAAGAAAGAACACACACACAGAACTCAGCAGCAAACTTCAGAGGCTTGAGTAACTCAGCATTGCTCATAAACACCCGTTTCATTCCTTTAAAACCTGCTTCCAAATGTTTGCTTAGCCATTAAGACATAAATCTTTAGTGACTCTCCTGAAAAAGAGCTGTGTATTCCTTACCTGAGTCAGAACACACTAATTCATCAAGGTGCTTGTTTTTTATATAACTTACATTTAGAGATGAAAACATTTCTTCAAACGTACGTAAGATTTGCTGAAGTAACCCTGTGTGAAAACCTGTGGGTTTTTAAGCCAGGGGGCACCGTCGGGCAGATCTCACGGGAAGTTCAGAACCAAATTAGAAGTGGCACTTCTTGCACAAAGCCTGCGATTAAACTTTCTCATGGGTCTTTTTAAAGAAACCAATGAAACCTTTTTGGCCGTAAAATTCCAACTGCAGCATCTGAAAGTAAAAGACCGCACGTAGACGAAGTAAATAAAGCAAACGAACCGATAACGGAGAAAACCCTTCACCCTCCTGATGGCTGCAGGGACAGAGCAAAGCAAAGAGCAGAGCCAAGGAAACACAAACTTCAATTTTCAAAGACCTCGTATTTGATAAATGGTGCTCACCATCAAGGGAAAATAAAGGAAAGTAGATCTAACTGTTTGAGGTGTAATATAGAAGTTTCTTAATGTATCTAATGATTTTTCTTTCACCTGTAAAACGAGAGAGGGGAGAGAAACCGTTTCCCTTCACACTCTGCTCCCGTTAAGGCAGCGAATCATGAATTTTAAAAGCATTTTCTTACTGCTTTTGTTATTATTTTCTTAACAGACGGTTTATTTTGGACAGAAATTCTAAAACCAAAACAGTATCAAGAGAATAGGAACTACTCTTCTTCCAGCATAGCTGGTTTAGGCGATGAGCAGTAACCTCCCGTCTGTGGCTTGACGCAGGGTTCACCTGGCATTACGAATCCATTGGCGTCCTCACCAGCGCGACTGGGAAACATGCAAATGTACGCAGCCCCAAACAGCGCACAAAAGTGAAGTTATTGTGTTTCCTTTCCTACAACAGCAGGTCATTTCAGGGGCAGAGGACCACGAATAAATAAAGAGACTGGATATATAATCTGTCGTGGCTATACGAAAGGTTACAACGTACTAGAAAAACACCATATGACTCTAATCAACAGCTGAGCCTGCAAGCTACAATTAACCCATCAGCATTATTTATTAAACTTTATGCAACCTCTGAGGTCCCTGCAGGCCAGGCACTAGCTGAGAAATACGGCACGGATAGGGCTGGCCGGCCGGGGAGAGGCAGAGCCATCGGTCAGGGGCGCCAGAACCGCAGCCGCGGCCACTGAGAGCCTTTTTCTGCGATGTTTGCCCCCGGGGTAGCCCAGCGGCGCCGACAGCAGTGAATTCAGCAAAGAGGGCAGGAGCTGCAGCCACACGAGAGACTCCAGACTCGATGCAAGGCGGGCTTCAGCTACGTATCGTAGTGTGTCCGCCCTCCGCCCCGGCGCGGGTCCAGCAGCAGCTCCCGCCTGCAGGAGGGATGCAGGTGACGGTGGAGGGCGATGACGGTGGGAGCCTCTGCGAGACACTGCCCAGCTCCACGCATGTCACCAGGGGAGGTACAGCCCCAGAGCCCGCGGACGCAGGCACCCAAAACGCCGCTCTTGCCAGGGAACACACAAGGAGTCTTCCAGTTTAAGTGACTGTTTCTCAGCCATCCCGGTTTCTCAGCCAGCCCGTACTTACGCAGTGGCAGCTCCCCTGCTCATGTGTTAACAGCAGAGATGAAACGCAGGAGACTCCAAAGGCACACGTGGGAGCTGGAAGCCCCAACTCTGTAGCACACAGCCAGACTCTAGGTAAGCCGGGCAGTGAGCTACACGGGTTTTCATCAAGTTCTCCAAAGCTGGAGGGAAAAACGTAGCACATGAATCAGCTGCGGCTCTTCAACCTTTTTCACCTTGAGATGCAACAGGAAAAGAGTCCAAGCACGCCAGTACAAAACAGGGAACAGAGTTAAACCATGAATCACTGAGCGAAAGACTGCCTAAAAAATAGCTTTACTTGGCATTATCCCAAGCAACTTCTAAGGTCACCCTGCACATCATCACTTGTGTAACCTTTCTACACGAGATCTTCCAAGCAGCAAATGGAGGAAAGAAAAGAACCCAAATGAGAGGCAGAACAAGACCACATCTAATTCATTAGATTTTGAAGTGATGCATCCTTTAAAACGTCACGT